TTTCAAGTCCATAACTTTTTAATACTTTCGGAGAAATGGCCTGGACAAAAATGAAGTATGAAAATAAACAAAGGGCCATAACTCAGAAATTAAGAAATGCAGAGTACCGATTTTTGTGCACTGCACTTCTTCATAATGAGATCTATCATCCTATGAAGTTTTAAGTCCATAGCTTTTATTCTTAAGGAGAAATGGCCCGGTCAAAATTAAAGTATGAAAATAAACAAAGGGCAATAACTCAAAAAATAAGAAATGCAGAGTATCTGTTCTTGTGCACTGCACTTCTTCTTAATGAGACCTACCATCCTATGAAGTTTCAAGTCCATGGCTTTTATACATTAGGAGAAATGGCCCGGACAAAAATAAAGTATGAAAATAAACAAAGGGCAATAACTCAAAGATTAAGAAGTGCAGAGTACCGATTCTTGTGCACTGCACTTTTTCTTAATGAGATCTATCATCCTATGAAGTTTCAAGTCCATAGCCTTTTTAGTTGAAGAGAAATGGCCCGGGCAAAATTAAAGTATGAAAATTAACAAAGGACAATAACTCTAAAAATAAGAACTGCAGAGTACCGGTCCTTGTGCACTGCACTAAGTTTGAAGTCAATCAGACTTATAGTGACTGCTTTATGCTCCGGACAAGCTTTAGGGGACGCCGACAACGACGCCGACACAGACGCCGCCGACGCCGCCGACAAAAGTAACTCCTATATGTCACCTTTTCAAGGCGACACAAGAAAGGGTCGATATATATATATTTTAAAGTATATTTCATCAAATTAATAGAAACTAGAAATGTGTCCATAGGACACGGGTGCCCCCACCGCGCCACTGTTCTGTCAATCTTTTTACTAAGTCAAGGGAAATAACTCTACAAATACTGGATAAATCCACAAGGGAAACCCCAGGTGCAAATCTAAAATATGCTGAGCAACCTGCCCATAAGGTTTAATGACTATGTCAAATCCTTTTTGAGAAACTTGCGACACATGTTGAAAATTGCAAAAATTTTCTAAGTGAAGGGCATTAACTCTAAAAATACTAAATAAATCCAGACGAAAATACCCGGTGCACAACTGCACATGCTGATCAATATTCCTGTAAAGTTACATGACTCTAGGTCAAATACTTTTTGAGTTACGTGCGACACATGTTGAAAATTGCAAAATTTTACTAAGTCAAGGGCAATAACTCTGAAAATACTAAAAATATCCAGACGAAAATACCCAGGTGCACAACTACACATGCTGCTCAACATTCCTGTAAAGTTTCATGACTGTAGGTCAAATACTTTTTGAGTTATGTGCGACACAAGTTGAAAATTGCAAAATTTTACTAAGTCAAGGGCAATAACTCTGAAAATACTAAAAATATGCACATGAAAATACCCAAGTGCACAACTACACATGCTGATCAACATTCATGTAAAGTTTCATGACTGTAGGTCAAATACTTTTTGAGTTACATGCGACACAAGTTGAAAATTGCAAAATTTTACTAAGTCAAGGGCAATAACTCTGAAAATACTAAAAATATCCAGACGAAAATACCCAGGTGCATAACTACACATGCTGATCAACATTCCTGTAAAGTTTCATGACTGTAGGTCAAATACTTTTTGAGTTACATGCGACACAAGTTGAAAATTGCAAAATTTTACTAAGTCAAGGGCAATAACTCTGAAAATACTAAAAATATCCAGACGAAAATACCCAGGTGCACAACTACACATGCTGATCAACATTCCTGTAAAGTTTCATGACTCTAGCTCAAATACTTTCTGAGTTATGTGCAACACAAAAGTGAACGGACGGACGGACGGACGGAAGGACGGACGGACGGACAGACGGACGGACGGACAAGGGTAAATCTAAATGCCTGCCACTAACGTGGGGGCACAATAAATTAGCGCATACGGCTGCAAGGACCCTCATAACATAGTTTGCAGATTATTTGTGAGATAAACGATCTAGCTACTGTTCTGGTGTTGAAGTTTGTGTTTCGCCAATATTAATGAGTACAATAACGCATATTTAGCATTTCTTTATAGTTTGCTTTTCGGTATACCTAACACATTTGCCGAACTATATAGCTTCATAAGGTACTACGTTTTCGGCATTTATTTCCACAACTATGTCTGATTTTGCACAATCCTGCATTTTTTTCAACAATACTGCAATATGGGATATATACGACGATTAAATTATTGGTGCATATCGTATCAAAGTCAACTTCTGCATCTTTCTTTCCCAAAATATTACATTCAGTGAGAGTATAGTTCATCTTAATATAAGAACGGTTTTTTCTCATTTTTTTCCAGTTTTTTACATTAAAATTTGGATTTTGTATACACGTATTCGCCTGTTCTTCGCAAGAATACGACTTGCGATTCTATTTTAGTCCGTGTGCTTACATGCGGTCTTATCAAACATATGAATAACGGATGATGCATATTAAGATTACACCGAAAGAAAATTCTTCCAAACATAAATGAAATTCTGAGAATATTTAAAATCAGCCATCATGAAAAGACAACAACAACAGAAACACAACTTACATGCCAATATATCTACATGTATTACTACTATTTATTTAAAGAACCCTATCTTTCACTTTCCTTTGAAAAAAGGCGTATATTTTAATTATATAAGAAATAGCCATATCATCTATTTACCATGAATTTATTATATATAAAGATAAAGTGTTCCGTTTTTATGTTTAGAAAACTTTCATATCTTCCTCAATATTTGTATATATAATATGTTATGTATTTTTATATCAAAAGGGGCGCCCGTGGCCGAGTGGTTAAGGTCGTTGACTTCAAACTACTTGCCCCTCACCGCTGTGGGTTCGTTTTCCCGAATAGACTTTGGAATCTTTCATGTGAGGAAGCTATCCAGCTAGCTTACGGAACGTCGGTGGGTCTACTCAGGTACCCGTTCGTACCTGAAATAATGCACGGAAGGGTCTTCCTCCACCAGTTAAATTTTGAACGTCGCAATATGACATATACTGTGTCGATGTGACGTTAAAACCAAAACAAACAAACATATATCAAAAAAATAATGATCTTACCTTTGCCTACTGACAAGTCTCAACTCAACAAGTACATTATCTGACCTTATAACATAATCAAACCCTACGAAAAACACGAGAATATTAAAATAACACCTGATTTTTGAACGAATGAATTACAAGAGCGTAGCGGATGGTATCTTGGCATGACTTCGGAATTCTATCTTAAACATGATAAAGTACGTAAATAATATTTTTCTTGTTAGTAATATTAAGGAATACTGAGTTAAAAACTGATGTCTTGATAGAGAAACAAAAGAGCATGTAGGTAAGATAGTTACGCTCTCTCGGTCTTCAAATCGCCACCCGTGTCTGTAAATACTATGCAGACCTATTCCTCGTAAGGAAACTATTACTTCAGAGATGGATTGATTTGCAACATACTGAATTTCTCGTGGTATAAATACAAATTTGATATTAAATTTATTTAGAAAATTGTACATTGATTGAATTTTCATGGAATTCGATTTACACTGAATAATGCATGGAATCTGAATTTCACTGCATTTCACATGGAACATAATGCACACTGAATTTCACATGGGGTTTGAATTGCACTGAACTCATCATAGCATTAAAATTAAGCTGAATTTCTCTTGGTATTTGAATAACCGATAAACAGTTTCGATAGGTTATTCTTATCAGTTGAGTTTTAAGTAAAGTTAACCGGTTACATATCTCTTAGTATAAATTATATGTAAAATGGTGTGACAGGCGGTAGGTTTAATAGTTAATTTAAGTACCTTCGGTGTCAAAGAGGGAGAATAGTCTGACCACCTATGTTTTACAATTCTCGGGCTTACCGCATAAAGCACTTTTAGTGCTTTGATTAACAATCACATTCAAACAGCTGGGGATTTAAAGCGTCTTTTCAGTGCAACCCGGGCGCAGCCAATTCTTCTCGTCGTTATCATTTATCACGAAATTAATGGAATGACGACTCTCATGTCCGGGTTTCGAAAAAAATGAAATTAAAAGCTTGATGTAATGAAGTACGATAAGATAATCTATATCAAAAAGGAAGGCGTGGTTAAACTAGATAATAAAAGAATGAAACATAAATATCAGGTTGATGAAAAAGTAATGGTAAGTGAATTTCGGTACCACCTGATCCAGAAGAAAACAACTTAAAATAAGGGAAAGAAGGAAGGAATTTTTACACAAAGGTCCACGAATATACATAATCAGTGCGTGCGTGCGTACATGTATGTGTGTTGGTGTTTGCGTGTGTCTGCGTGTGTCAAATGTGGAAAGTGTTAATTTCAAGCGTAAGGTTAATTAATGCCAATTTAATTTAGTAGTGTTGAAAGCTACAAGGTTATTTAAACACTCGAATCCGTTCATGGAACCAAACAGTACTAGGCAATGAGTAACGAGATTTGAACCCACTCGGCCGGCAATTCTTAGATTTCAAGCCTCAGATATATAGTCCGACGCGTTAACAACTCAAACATGCCAACACTCACATGAAGCATATGGTTATAGATTTATGTGTGAGGTTTAAAGAGTGATGTTTGCTAAAAGCCGTTAAAAATCATTTTAAGGTCTCCAAAACAACAGATGTCTAGTCCGACGCGTTAAACTACTCCAACATGCCGCCACTTAAATGAAGCATATGGTTTACATATTTATAAGTGATGTTTACTAAAAGCCGTTAAAATCATTTCAATGACTCCTGAACAAAAGATTTCTATTCCGATGTATTAATCACTCCACCATGCCGCCACTCACATGAGGTAACTGGTTACAAATTTATGATATTTCAAGAGTTATGTTTGCTTAACACCGTTGAAATCTGTTTAATGTCTCCTGAACATCAATGAACAAACCCATCACAAATCTAAGGAGAAATTTTATCCTCGTTAGATTCTTGTTACTATATAACGAACAAATATAAGAGTCTAAGTCACTTGATTGGATATTACTCTTGAACAACAAAGTGTATGTAAATATCTGCCCACGGGTGTTACAAATTAATATGTTGATGAAATATTATTCCGTCGTCATACTGTGTCTTTCTGTCGTCAACGGAGAACATGGAGAACCTAAATGTTTTTCGAGGTTTGACTATGACGAGAAAATGTTAATGAAACAATTAAGATTGGAAGACAAAGTTCAGAAATTCGAGGATTTTATTAACGGAGTAAAGGCGCGAGAAGCCAAGGAAAAGGAGGAGCGCGTTGAATTGTTTGCTGCAGAATTAGAGAAAGTTAAAAACTTCCAGGAGGTTTTGAATGAAGTAAAGGCGAGGGAAGAAAAGGAAAAAGAGAAACGCAAACAATTATTTGCAGCAGAGTTAGAAAAATATAAACAAGAGATGTCGGAAGAAACTGAACGACAGAAAAATGTGACGTCAGAAATGCTCGAAAGTGTGACGAGTTCTGAGAATAAGTTTGACAAAAATCATGAACAGAAAAATGAGAGAATGAAAGGTCAGTTTTACAGAATGTATTTCAGAAATGCGTATCACATTATTCTTGCTTTTGTAAATAAGTGATATTGTCTTCTTAATATAATTGGTTCAGCTTATCAAATCCTACTAAACCAAGTTAATTGCAAAAATAACTTTTTTAGATTAAATTTATCTTTAATTAAAGATATATTTACGTCAACAATATTCTGAAGAAGAAGATAATTGTTTAAACTTGGATAAAACACATGAGCAAATTGTACAAGCTAACATTATGTAATATTTTCTGTTTGTTTCAACTGTTTAGTTTTTTTTGTTTTTATTTCGGTGGGGGGGGTGTATAAGAGCAAAGAATATGTGCCCGTATGTTATACACGAGGAGGCAGTAAACAGTTTTTAAAGCTTCTCGGCAAACATCTCACAGCAGAAAAATCAAAACCTCGCGTTCAATAGTAAAAAAAACAGAATTCCTAAAAAACGCCCAAAACGACCAAATTGAATATGTAACGGCTCAGTTTGATTGCGCCTGTTCATGAACGGCGTTGTTAAATGCAAGTTACCGTCCATGCCCCTTAGCACCGGCTTAAGCAAAATTCAACATTTAAACAATGAATATCTGTCTGTAATCTGTTATCACACACCGGAAATAAATGCATTTTTAACAAGATTCAATATTATAAAAGGATCTTTTATGTTCAAAGGCGTCCGGCCCTATATACATACACCAATGTTTAATATGGTTCCGTGGCCTTAACAATATTATAAATGAATCATCTTTATATAGTATTTATATTTACAGGTTGCGTTCTACATATAAAAGTAATTTTAATTTATTATAGTGAAAACATCGACAAGAATTCGTAATATCTTCTTGCCATGGTTAATCAATTAGTCTTTGTTTAAAAAATGTATGAAAAATATTGCAAATAATAATATTGAAAATAATTTCCTGAGCTATCAAGAATAAAAACGAAACCATACTTAAACGGTTAATGTTTAACATTTTTTACCCAAAATATTCGACCTACTTCGTCTTAATTTGATTAACACTATTTGGGATATCAACATAAAGATAACAAGTGTTAATACATAGTTTATGTCGTTTGTCATAATACACAGTACTGAAGGGCAATCTCAAATGTTCTCCTTAAACCAATTATTAATACACGCCCAACATCAAATTTTCTTTGTGACTGTTTTTCGTAGCAAAAACAATAAAAACAGCCAAAATCTTCAGTCACTGAAGTCTTACAGAAACATTTAAGCCTATGTATATATTATATTCTGCACTAATATTTTCTTTTTACGCTATCAATCTTACAATCAACATGAACACATGGTGTCCTAGAGCTCATTTTTACACATTGTTAAGTATTCTGGATGCACTTTAATTTGAATCATATATTCGAATTCAACAGTTACCCCCTAAAATGCATGGCTAACACCACTACAAATATCCACTTCAATTTCAAAACTGTCTCTCATTTGTGAAAATTTGACCATGGCACATTTGAAACTTGCAAAGTGAAACTGTAAACTGCCTCTTGAGGTATAACGTTTACGTCTGCTTACAAACTGCTTGGCTAAATGCGGATTTTATCTAAATCATTATGAATAATTTATAAATAATTATGATCACAGTGTCTCAATCGTGTAATGTAGGTAGCAGAAAATCAAAAAAGTGGTATTTTCCATCATGACTTTTTTTAATGTCCAATTATCTCATAAGGAATAAATTGTAGAGTCCGCTTATTCTAGTGATTAAATCATACATAGATGTTTCTTGGAAACAAATAATATTTTTCTGTAAAGTGAAACCTTGTGAATTTCTGAGATTCAAACAGGCGGTCCCATTTTGTAAGATATGACTTTTTCTCAGAAGACTTTTTTTATTTTTAGAAGAAATTACTACCTGAATCGTGTTTTGTATTGTATCCAGTCACCCGCAAATTATAAAAGTCACGTGGTAAACGCATCGTAGTGATTATGGCAAAAGAAGTATTTGTGATAACATTACTTTTAAAATATAAACAAAGTACATGTCATCATACCATCATGTCAAATTATATGCATCTTTTGCATTATAAGATCAACATAATCATTTTTTTTCTGAAATGTATCATAATATGTTTCAAGTAAACATTCATCTAAACGTATCTTTTTATCAGTTTTAAAACCTTTAATCTTAAAATTCTATCGTTTTCTTAGGAAAAGTTGTGGCATTCACAGTGACCGTACCTAAGGCGGGTGCTACATCATACTCTATGACTTTTACAACGGTCATTATAAACGAAGGTAACGGGTTTGATACATCGACTGGCAAGTTCACATGCCCTGTTAGCGGGCTCTACTACTTTTCTTTACACATCGTCAAAAGGTATTCATCCAGTGTCGGCTATGCCGGATGTTACATTTATCTGAACGGATCAAATAAAGTGGAAGCTCACACAGATCCACAGAGCGGTGCAGACTACGGAAGTTACGGAGTTTCGACGTCGGTGTATTTAAAATTGAAGGTTGGAGATGTGGTGATGTTAGGTGGTTGCAGCAGTGGTATTTCCGACCGTGTAGAATCACGGACATCATTTAGTGGTCATTTAGTACAAGAAGTTTATTAACTTATAAATATAAATATAAATATATATATAATTTTATACATGCATGTATTTTTTAGAATTTGTGTAACAAAAAAGTGCTCCGACTTCTTTCTCGCTTGATATCTAAAAGTTCGTACCCAAGTTTTAAATGATAATCAGAGGTTATCAGCTTATTTTGAAGATTCTGTCCATTCTTAGAAACAGTGTGTACTTTATTCGATAAAACTTTAAAATTGAGATTTTCATATGGAATTTACCCTTTATAAATTTTGAAATGTTTGATACCGAAAGCTTTATTTTGTTCACTTTTCAAAATATTATGTTTATAGACTCGTTCAAATCGAATTGTATTCCAATATAAGTTTATATAAATCACGTGACCCCTTGTTTGTAAAACTATTTTGTATTGTGATTACAATGATTACAGAATACATATAATGATAGCGAGCAAGCATGGTTCAGATCATCGTCAAACCAATAATAAACGCTGAGAAACAATTTATTCTGTTTACCTATAATAATATTTATGTATATTAAATTACTTAGACATTCTGTGTAACAATCTATCTATCTATCTTACTGTTGATTGGAAAAGCAAACAGACATTTACGGTATTAAATTGTCGACAGAATTTTTTTTTGTAGTTTCAAAGATTTAGGACAGTGCTATTATTATTTAGCTAGTTTGTTGGCAAAATATTGTATTATGTTTGTTGAAATATCGTTTATGATATTTATATATTCTTGTTCTGCTCGTCATTCAATAGAGCAATTATTTCTTAGTTTACTGATCAAAGCAATGTGACTGTTGTCTCCACTTGAATGACTTATACAATGTATTTGAAAAAGCAGCAAGAGACATATCATAATAGCAACTCCAGTGTCAGGATATTTTGAGAATGACAACGATGAAAGGGAGATAAATATGATAAATTTCAATGTGTTGAAGATGTATGATTTGTGCGATTCATTCAATACATTCTTCATTGAGGTATACTTCTATACATCGGATTTACAAGAGCTAGGCTTAATTTTTAAAATTGATCCCAGGTCACATATAAGAATGACTGTCACGTAATCATTCATAGGGGAAAAACTTAATATCGTTTAGAATGATCTGTCGTTTTCCGGTTTAACATATCTTTATAAGCTCAAACATAAGGACGCCATTTTCAGGAAATTGAACAGTATTTTATTTGTATTTTTTTTCAATTTTATTTATTTATTTTTTAATTTGAACTATATATTTACTGGAAACTAGCACATCATCGAGTAAGACTCGAACCAATGATGCTTTAGTTGACAAGCAGACACCTTTATCACTTAAGCACTGCTCGTGAAATTGAAAGACTGATTCTACAAACTAAATTACTGTCAATTAGGCGAATTTCACCACGGCTTGAAACTTAATAACTTCCAAATTTATGTTTGACATAATTCTACAGTAATTTCTGTAGTTTACTATATCTGATTTCTTTAGTTAATATAGATTTTGTATTTTTTGTTTTGTTTTTTTTTTTTGGTAATGATTTGTTTTTACGTCGCAACAACACAGTACATGGCGATTTTCAAGCATTGCTTATTGTGCCCTTTTATGCATTATTTTAGGCACGAATGGGCACCTGAGTAGAAACAAAGACGTTCCGTAAAGAAGAATCCAAAGTCATTGTCAAAACTCCAACCACTGATGCCCACTAACATTTAGAGTAATTTAAAAGATAAATCAGCATTCAACTAGAATTGATCAATCTATTACGGTATGGTATAAAATTCAATATAAGTTTCGATTAAATACCTTTGTAAACTTTTCGGATGCCTAAAAGATAACGAAAAAAGCAGTGATGTTTTTTTATATATTCTAATTTATTCAGCATTCGACAAACCGTAAAATAAATATAATATTCTATAAGTTTACAAATTCCTTCGAGTGCAGCCTTTTGCGGCGACCCAATGTTACAGAAAACATGTGTCTAATGATCACCCAACCTGAAGTTCGATGATCAAGATCAAGCTTTTATTGTTGGCCACCTTACAGTATCATCCACTGGTTCATATATGAAATGAAGAGGAAACAAAAAGTTAAGTTTCCAATTTGGTCCAAACACTGACATCAATTTATCTTTTTTGCCCCTCGTATCAGTAATATAAATGTCGAAATCCATTTCAAAGGAAGTTTTACCCGTGCTTTTACCGGCAACTATTATTTTCAGATATGTGTTGGAAATAAGTAAAAATAGTAACAGTAGCCATCCCAGCACTATGCAACCTGCATATATCCAATCAATGTATCCGAATACTTCACGAGTTATTGCTATTGGGAAAATCAAGTCAAAGTAACTGGTGTATGGAAAAATATCATAGTAATAAAATGGCAGAGAGTGTACGCTTGCAAATAAAGCGCCCATGAGAGCCCAAAATACGAATACAGTAAAATGTCTGAGATTTCTACCCCCAATACACACCCCGGTAAAATAGCAGTGGTGGTCTCGCTTCATTACACACTTGTCGCATATTGGACAATGGTGACATCTTGGTGGGCGGGGTCTGTTACACTGTAAACACGGGGCCCACGAGAAATATGGGTATTGGGTTCTCTCGGGTGGCTCCGTGTGGGTTCTGGGTACTTAAGTGTCGACATACATGAAACTGTCTTCTGAGTCATTAACTTCTATGTTTAGTGATGCAGCATCTTTTCGAGATCGCATGATGCTGTCATTATGGTTATTGTTAACAGTATGGCATATTTTCTGTCCAATTGATATCCTGTCCGGAATTACCGTCACGTGACGGCTTATAACTTGTATCAACGTATTTTATACACAACCAATTCACAGTCAATTGAAAAACAATAAATAATCAAAATAATCGTAAGCACAAAATAGCATTGTCACTATAGTTACTATACAGATATGGAATAGCAAATATTATACCTACACTCATGATCCCTGTCATACCTGCCAGGAATATAGCTTGGGTCAAGTAGTCAAATATTCGCAGGTTGAAGTTGTGTACTATAGGCGTAAGCATTTCTAAAATCTCCCACTTTGTTCGACTTAAAGAGTTCTTGAACTTGACAGTATCGTTGCTCTGCATCTTTGAACCCTGGATGAATGAAAAATATCACAGATTATTAACACCCTATAAATACATTTGGACTAAGACATATGAATGATTAATGCAAGATAAAAATGAAAAAGGAGAGAAATGGAAACATAAACCTTTGAAAAAAATCTGATTCGCATTTTGCAAAGTATTTATTTCTTTAGGTATTAAATAAACAAAAATGAAGCTTGTTTGACTTTCTGTCGGTTTCTTTTCTTAACAATTGCATGTGTGTATACACAAGGTTAATATTATAGTTTTACGTAATTGTTTTACATTGAATAATAGGGAGTACTTGCAGGAACGAGTTTTAAGCCACGTGCATATTTCAAGTAACCTAGTTTTGTCACAGTCGTTTTAAGTAGTTTATTTGGTTTCTACAGAATTTATTTTAGTTCGATTACGTAGGAAGCTATTAGCTTAAAAAACACTTTCAAATACGTTCCTGGAACCAACCAGTACTGAGCAATGAGTGTAAGGTTTCTTGCTCAAGGAAACAACGACTTGTCCCTGTCACAGTTTGAACCCATGCGGCCAGCGATCATTAGATTACTAGTCTGAAGCCTTAACCACTCGGCCATGCCGCAAGTAGTAGTTTTTAAATACAACAAATAGAATTATAACTTAATTAAATCAAATGATACTGGTTTCTTGACATTTTGCCATATTTGTGCTCAGTTTTATATTTTACTATGAAAAAGTTATCAATAATCCTCGTGACCAACTCAAATTTATATATATGTTGTTTAGAATGTATCGGTAACGATCCATTTTTAAAAATAGTAAGGCAGTCCTTTTATAAAATCGGATCGGTCGTTTTTAAATTGTATCATAAAACGTCTTTCGTTGTTAATTAGTAGTCTATCACCATTGAACCAGCTGTCGAAAAAAATTACTAATTCAACGCAACATGAAAGCGAAAAATGAGCTGAATTTCACTTTAATAATTTCAATTCTTCTGCGGACAACCCGGTTACAAAGTTACATGAAACATAATAGTCTTTTCGCATTTTGTTATTAACAGCAATATTAGATATATTATAATATTATAGCATGTTTTACTAGCATGAATGCGTCACAACATTCTTGCATTAAAAATGCGCAAATCGGTGTACTGGTTAGAGAAAGTATTATGACCACCTGAGTGGGCACTTAATTATTTTAATTGGACAGCTAAGTTTTAGTGGTGTACAAATGTATAACCGCTACATACACGTATTATGATAGTAAGAATATCTGACCTTTCAAAAATTTTAGCGCATTTTACTTAAAATGTTATTTATTTATATGCTTGAGCAATAAAATTCATTTCCCTTAAAATTTATTGTGTCTTTTGTTGTAGAGAATTGTATTATATAATGAACACTTCAGATCTAGCATTATACATAATATAAATCATCAGTTTAATAATATTTCTGCCCCCATTTCGAAGAAAAGGGGGTATATTGCTTTGCACTTGTCGGTCCGTCGGTCCGTCGGTCCAAATGGTTTCCGAGTGATAACTAAAGAACCCTTAGGCCTAGAAACTTCAAACTTGGTATGGTGATTGGTCATGACCAGTAGATGACCCCTATTGATTTTGGGGTCAGGGGGTCAAAGGTCAAGGTCACATTGACCTTGAAAGCAAAAACGGTTTCCGATCAATAACTAAAGAACCTTAAGGCCTAGGAACTTCAAACTTGGTATGGTGATTGGTCATGACCAGTAGATGATCCCTATCGATTTTGGGGTCAAGAGGTCAAAGGTCAAGGTCACATTGACCTTGTAAGCAAAAACGGTTTCCGATCAATAACTAAAGAACCTTAAGGCCTAGGAACTTCAAACTTAGTATGTTGATTGGTCATGATCAGTAGATGACCCCTATTGATTTTGGGGTCAAGGGGTTAAAGGTCAAGGTCACATAGACCTTGTAGGTAAAAACGGTTTCCAATCAATAACTAAAGAACCTTAAGGCCTAGGAACTTTAAACTTGGTATGTTGATTGGTCATGATCAGTAGATGACCCCTATTGATTTTGGGGTCAAGGGGTCAAAGGTCAATGTCACATAGACCCTGTAGGTGAAAACGGTTTCCTATCAATAACTAAAGAACCTTAAGGCCTAGGAACTTCAAGCATGGTATGGTGATTGGTCATGATCAGTAGATGATCCCTATTGATTTTGGGGTCAAGGGGTCAAAGGTCAAGGTCACATTGACCTTGTAGGTAAAAACGGTTTCCGATCAATAACTAAAGAACCTTAAGGCCTAGGAACTTCAAACTTGGTATGGTGATTGGTCATGATCAGTAGATGACCCAAGGGGTCAAAGGTCAAGGTCACATTGACCTTGTAGGTAAAAACGGTTTCCGATCAATAACTAAAGAAACCTTAAGGCCTAGGAACTTCAAACTTGGTATGGTG